AGCGCCCCCTACTGGCTGCCCCACAGCGCCTCATGCTGGCTGGCTGCCCCACAGCGCCCCCTGCTGGCTGGCTGCCCCACAGCGCCCCCTGCTGGTGGTAATCAGTCGGTAAACGCAGGATTTCAGGATTCTAATCATGAATTTGTATTTCTGAGGCGGGATGCAGGTGTTTTACGTCTTTTAATTCACCTGCAGACGCGGTTTTCTTCCTTCAGGCAGCAGTCGATGCTTTCTGTTTGTGGTCTTTGTGGACCAGGTTCAAGTCATGATTCTGTGATTTTTAACGACTGTTCAGTGGTTCTGATCGTGTTTGACACGTTGGAGTCCTTCAGACGTCTTTTCAGACTCGTGCTGAAGACTTCTGGCTGGTTCACGTTTTCTGGTTTGAGGACGATTTCGAGTCATTCTGAGGTTTTTATTGTGGAGCAGCGAGAAGAGAGAAACCGTCCACATGTCATCGGCCTGGTCCAGCCCGTTTATCAGACAGAACAGAACCGAGCAGCAACCCAGAAGCTGAAGCTGAAGGACCGGTCTGTGGTCCAGCGACGCTCCTGCTGTTTGATTTGACTTCTGTTCTTTGTCCACGTTGTTCTTTGTGCTGCCGTCACATCTCAGAGGAAACATTAAGACTAATGACTCATTTATTTAATATCATTTTACATTTTTTATATTTAGTATTTTGTAATTTGTCTTGATTTTAGAAATAGTCAGAATTCTGAATATTTTTCAGTATTTATTTAAAAAATGTTCTAAATGTTTTTGGGGGATTCTTTATTGTTGGATTATTTCTGATGAAATGTTTCAAAACATCAGTAAGAATTTAGAATTTTCTTGATTTTGTATTTTTCAGCATTTATCGGAACATTTTGTGCCCGTTGTTGGTGTAATTATTTATTTATGTTTTAATAACCTGGTTAAGAATCCGTCACAGGAACCAAACCAGCACCGAGGGTTCTGCTGGACCGTGTGTCTGACCTCAGTGGACACGACGGGTCCGGATCAGAACAGGTTCTGGTTTCTGATGTTCAGCTTGAGTGTGAACTCCGGCGCCGTGCGGCTGAGCTGTCAGCGTGTTTGTGTCGAGTCAGTGTGGGCGTTCTGACTTCCTGATGTGAGGAAACCTTCTTCCGATGGAGACACACTGAAACGTCTCACATGTGGAAACACAACAACACGGCAGCAGCAGCGTCGCCTCGCCGGCTGCAGGAACACTGACAGAGACCAACGGTGAGTCTGATCCCTGTCCGTCTGTCACTGGACGACCAGAACCAGAACCAGAACCAGTGAGAGGGCTGAAGCCCAGCAGGTCTGCAGCTTCAGGATCTGTGCAGCGCGTTTGGTTTTCCAGCCGCTCGTGTGTTTGTGGAGACGTGAAGCTCTGGAGGTCACTGAGAGTTCAAGTTAGTTTCCAGGTTTTTGGTCTTTGGGACCGTCTGAGTCCGTTTGGAGGATTTCCAACTAACTTTGAGCAGCTTTTGAGTCGTGTGTTTCTGCCTCTCGTCCGGCTTCAGGTCGCTGCAGACGGAGCCTTTAATGAAGTCCGTCCAGCATGAGGCGGCTGCTGCTGCTCTGACTTGTAGACGACACACTCGGAGTTTTATTGTGAAGTCAGAATGTTAGCGTGTTAGCGCTGCTGCTGCTAACATGTTGAACCACAAACGTTCAGTAACTCTTCCACTGACCAACAGGTCGGTCCATGTGCAGGTCTCCTCTGTTATGATTGGTTCCCCAGAACAGGTAACTGCTGCTCCAGGGTTCTGATTGGCCGACGTAGCTTTAGGGTTGGTTCACCTTCTAGAAGGAAAAATCCTAGAAAATGTTCTAATTGTTTGTAAGAATGGAAATGTTGTGGTTTGACGGCCTGTTTTTGGAATTTTATTCATATTTAGGTGTATTTAAAAAAGAAAGAAAAAACTGAATGAAAGGTAAAAACTGCCTCAAACTACAGACGTGTTCTACGAGCACACGGAACACGTCACTGCTTACAGTTTGCTGTCTGCGCTCTGATGTTTTATAATTTTAACGTTTAACCTGCAGCAGCTCAGCCACACATCAGAGGCTTTAACTCATCAGTCTACACCTGCTCAGGTGAAATACAACGAGGTAGAAGTCGAAGGTTTGGTTTGATGATCCCATGTGATGTTAGATATCAACCGTTCTTCTCTCTGCAGTGGTGAGATGAGCAGCTGATCCGACCCGAACACAAAAACACACAACATGTCTTCACCTCCCGCTGAGGATCCGGTGACGCCACCGCCGATGACCACGCCTCCTCGCAAAGCCTCGGTGGTCCGTCTGCAGGAGAGGTGGGCGTTAGCCACTAGCATCCATCCAGCCGCTAGCATCCATCCAGTCGCTAGCATAGTCCAGACATCCTACAACTGTCTGTCCAACACATTGTCTTGTTGAAAACATCTTTTATTTTGAATTCATCACTGTTTCCTGGTTTGTAGGCGGGGCTCCAACCTGTCCCTACTATTGGACGTGAGCAGCCTGGGGGCGGAGCCAGTCTGTTCCGTGACCACCCCTAAGGAGGTGTGGCTTCAGCTGCTGCACACGTCGACCCGACCGCTGGACCACCAGCTGCTGCAGGAGGCTGCAGCCGACACCAGCGCGCTCAACGTCGAGTACCAGGTACTTTAACTGCATAGTACTACTACCGGGTACTACCAGGTACTTT